GAATAGTGAAGTGGGAAGAGGGAATATGCACGAAAGATGGCATACGGAAGGTCGAGCGTAAGCAACTAGATGGAATAGTGCCACGCAAACTCTCTCGATCGCTCGCGTGCGTGCTGTTCACTTGTTTTTTGTCTCTGCAGGACATCCTCGCGAAGATGAAGAGCTGTTACCACGCGGGTGACCCTCCGTCGTGCGGCGCGCCCGCGCTGTTCACTTGTCTAGCCATGCTCACTTGTTTTTGTCTCGGCAGGACATCCTCGCGAAGATGAAGAGCTGTTACCATGCGGGTGACCCTCCGTCGTGCGGCGCCCCCCCGCTGTTCACTTGTCTAGCCATGCTCACTTGTTTTTGTCTCGGCAGGACATCCTCGCGAAGATGAAGAGCCGCCACCACGCGGGCGACCCTCCGTCGTGCGGCACGCCCGCGCTGTTCACTTGTCTAGCCATGCTCACTTGTTTTTGTCTCGGCAGGACATCCTCGCGAAGATGAAGAGCCGCCACCACGCGGGCGACCCTCCATCAGGTGGCGCTCCCGGCGGAGCGATGGACGTCGTCTCCGTCACCGACCCGGGACAGACGAGCGAGACGTACCGCATGCGCAACATCAACAACGGAGCATTCGGCGTTCCGCACGATGGCACCACCGTGCTCGAGGACTCGGAGCTCAGCGGTTTCGCGCTCGTCATCAACGGGCACAGTCTGGTAGGTGGCGCCGGCGGTGGCGGCGGAGGTGGTATGAGGGGCGTCGTCGCGAGTCGTCGTCGTTCGTGCCATTTTTTTTCCATCGCGAGGCGTCGTTAAGAAAATCTCAACTTTGGAGCGATGTTAGTAGATTCTAGCGCATTTGTTAGAAACACTATGAGAGTTTGTAGGCCGGTGTCCCCTCTGAACACTTACGAAATTTAGAACTACGAATTTTTAACACTTTGAAGTATTTTTTTATACTATTTTAAGTATTTCTTAGTACAAACCTGAATTTGCCATGACAAACGTGGTTGCGTTAACACGCGTATTGCGCAGGTGTTTTTTACTATGTTGTCACCATTAATGAGTGCATTTCAGAGGTGTCTTGTGTACCACATCGTCACCGTTAACACAGTATTAATGCGTTAATGCGTATATTCGCAGGTGTTTGCGTGCCACGTCGTCACCGTTAACACAGTATTAACGCGTTAATGCGTACATTCGCAGGTGTTTGCGTACCACGTCATCCCCGTTAACACAGTATTAACGCGTTAATGCGTACATTCGCAGGTGTTTGCGTGCCACGTCGTCACCGTTAACACAGTATTAATGCGTTAATGCGTACATTCGCAGGTGTTTGCGTGCCACGTCGTCACCGTTAACGCAGTATTAATGCGTTAATGCGTACATTCGCAGGTGTTTGCGTGCCACGTCGTCCCCGTTAACACAGTATTAACGCGTGCATTCGCAGGTGTTTGCTCTGGAGGAGAAGATGGAGCTGTTGTTTCTGGAGGTGGGCTGCATGTGCAAGGCTGTGATCTGCTGCCGCGTGACGCCGCTACAGAAGGCTCTCGTAGTCGACCTCGTGAAGAAACACAAGAAGGCCGTCACGCTCGCGATCGGTGACGGCGCCAACGACGTCAGCATGATCAAGAGTAGGTTGTCTTCTCTTCTTCCTCTGCGCGCGTGTGCGTAGGTTCTCTCCCCCTTCTTCTTCTGAGCGGGTTTCAACACGCCTACACCCATATCTTCTCACACCAATTCCACCCCCCACTGCCGCGCACCAACATCCTGCAGTGTAGCCAGCATGATCAAGAGTAGGTTCCCTCCCCTTCTTCGGCTGCGAGTGGGTTTCAACAGGCGCAACAACACCCACACCCCTCAGCCCTCACACCACCCTCGTTGCCCTCCCCTGCGCGTGTCACGCTGCATTACGCTGCATCGTCAGAATGATCAAGAGTAGGTTCTCTGCGCTTCTTCCTCTGGGAGTGGGTTTTAACACGTGCACCCACACGCATCGGCGGACCGGAACGAATAACACATCTCACGCAGCCTACCACAATGCCCCCCGCATAAAACGCTCTCTTGTTTTCAGCGGCATACCCTCCGCAATGCCTCTCTTGTAACAATGCTCTTTTGTTGTTTTCAGCGGCACATCCTCCACAGTGCCCCCTGTGTAACGACGCCCTTTTGTTGTTTTCCAGCAGCGCATATTCCATATTGCCCCCTGCAAAATGACACTCTCTTGTTAACGACGCTCTCTTGTTGATGACGCTCTCTTGTTAACGACGCTCTCTTATTAATGATGCTCTATTGTTAATGACGCTCTCTTGTTAACGACGCTCTCTTGTTAATGATGCTCTCTTATTAATGACGCTCTCTCGTTGTTTTCTGTGGCGCATCCTCCGCACTGCCCCTCTCATTACGACGTTCTCTTGGTAATGACGCTCTTGTTAATGATGCTCTCTTGTTAATGACGCTCTTGTTAACGACGCTTTCTTTTTTTCGCAGCGGCGCACATCGGCGTCGGCATCAGTGGGCAGGAGGGCATGCAGGCGGTGCTGTCGTCGGACTTTGCGCTCGCGCAGTTCCGCTACCTCGAGCGTCTGCTGCTCGTGCACGGCCGCTGGTCGTACTTCCGCATGTGCAAGTTCCTCGAGTACTTCTTCTACAAGAACTTTGCGTTCACGCTCTGCCACTTCTGGTTCGCCTTCTACTGCGGCTTCTCGGCGCAGGTGGGTTGACGACGATAGCACGAAGGATAGTACCATAGTACGATAGACGATAGTATAATAATTATCCTAATTTCGATAGTGATATGGTTACAAGTTACAATAATGATTATGATGATGATGATTTTGCTGAGGCAGATGGTTAACTGACAGCCAGATTTCTTTCTCGCTTCGAATTTTAATCATCATGTTGATGATCACGATGACAATATTGATGTAGACGAGACCTGGAACATTGTACTTGCAATTACCTAGCAATTACCATGAGTGCTCTCTGTCTGCCTGGCGAGACTGCATGTGCGTGTGGGAAGCATGATATTACGAGACGCGTAACGCGATGCGACCGTGAACCTCGTGTGCGTGTACGTGAGCTGCTATTTTTTTGTCGTACTAAACCATAATAACTAGTAATACTATTGCTGCTAGTTGCTATGGTTTTTACGTCTAGTACCACCTGGTACAATGTCATAAATATAGCGTGCGTGATTTAATTTTAATAAAAGTACGTACACTTGGGGTACCTGGCTGCCCTGGTGTCATCGCTTGTCACTCGTTAAGCTAGCACTTTTGATTAAGAACTGTTTTTGTATTACTCCACTGACGGCGAGGAGCTTGCAAGCTCATGTTGATATAACTTTGACCAACGTACCGTATTTAAATTAATTAAAGTGATTACGTCACGAATTTTCTATGGTAAAATTTGTAAAAATTTTGGT